TCCTGCCTCAGCCTCCCAAGTAGCTGGGACTACAGGCGCACACCACCATGCCTGGCTAAATTTCGTATTTTTTAGTAGAGATGGGGTTTCACCATATTGGACAGGCTGGTCTCGAGCTTCTGACCTCGTGATACACCTACCTTGGCCTCCCAAAGTGCTAGGATTACAGGTGTGAACCACCTCGCCCAACCAAAACAGTGAATTTCATCAGAGCTTTCCTGTAAATTGTAAATGAGCAAATTCTAACTTCATGATGCCCCCACCCCACCCCATCATTCCTTTCCCAGTGGCCCTGAGAGAGCATGGTGGGTTGAGGAATCCCACATCCCTGGTTACACCCGGGTGCCTTCACCCAGGATACCTCACACTGACTTCATATCACTAAGACCTTTTGCTTTGGTGTTTTGCAAGGTCCTCAAAAGAACATTCACTTTTAAAGACTCTGACATTTCCATAAAAACCTAGAATAGAACATATACCACTCTGCCTCAAGATCTTGTATTTCCTTTCTTAAAACCAAACACATATGTCCACCCAAAGACATATATGAGGATGTCTCTAGCAGCTTTATTCATAGTTGCCAAAAATGGGAAACAGCCCAGATGTCCGGCAGCAGCAGGATGAATAAACAAACTGTGCCATATTCACACAGTGGGACCCTGCACAGAAATAAAACGGGAACAGTTTACCGAAATACGCGACAATGTAGGTGAATCTCACAGTCACGATGCTGAGTAACAGAAGCCAACGCAAAAGACTGCACACTCGATGCTCTGTTTCTAGGAAGCTGAGGAGCAGGCTCCCGAGGCTGGCAGCGTGGGAGTGGGGTTGCCTGCCAAGGGAGATGGGAACCTTCCCTGGTGATGGAAATGTTCTGTATCTTGAGCTGGGTGGCAGTTACAGTGGGTGCATATATATGTAAAAAGTCGTTGAGGCTGGGCACAATGGCTCACACCTGTAATCTCAGCACTATGGGAGGCTGAGACAGGTGGATCACTTAAGGTCAGGAGTTCGAGACCAGCCTGGCCAACATGGTGAAACCCTGTCTCTACTAAAAATACAAAAAATTAGCGTGGTGTGGCAGCACACACCTGTAACCCCAGCTATTTGGGAAGCTGAGGCTCCAGGAGAATCGCTTGAACCTGGGAGCCGAGATCTTGCCATTGCACTCCAGCCTGGACAACAAGAGCAAAACTCTGTCTCAAAAAAAAAAAAATCATTGAGCTTTAGGAATGTTACTCCTCAACAAAATGTATGTAGCATATTTTATAAAACTACATATCAAAACCTTTTAAAAAGAAAATTAGACACCCTCCCTTCCAAACACGGCTTGAGCTCCTGCTTTGGGCTAAGCATTTTCAAATACATGATCTCATTTAATCCACATGACCTCCCTGTGAGTTCATCATTATTGTGTCCATTTCGGAGATAAGGTACCTGTGGCTCAGAGAGGTTTAGTGACATGCTCAAGGTCACACAGCTGGTGAGAGACAGAGCTGGGATCTGCCTTCTTTCCAACATACTTGGGACTTTCTCGGTTGTCTCTGGGTCTCCAAGTTCATGTGCACGTTTTGCTCAGGAATGAGGCTGGCCTTCTCTGCCCAGGGGGGTGAGCTCCCCCAGCCTCTTCCACCCACCTTTGACCCCAAAGTGGTTCTAATCTAGGTGCATCTTGCCCCCTCAGCACCCCTTCGTCAGCAGCGTCACCAGTAACAAGGCTCTGCGGGAGCTGGTGGCTGAGGCCAAGGCTGAGGTGATGGAGGAGATCGAAGACGGTCGGGATGAGGGGGAAGAGGAGGACACCGTGGAGGCCGCCTCTGTAAGGCCGGGGAGAGTGGGGCTTGGCAGGGGCTGGGAGGGTGGGATCTCACTGGCCCTGCCAGTGTGGGAGGGGCAGGGGAGGCCCGGGCTCTGGCTCAGGGAATTTCTTCCCAGCTTAAAGGTTGCAGACACCCACGCTGCAGGTTATGTAAGATGGCACATGGGCCGGGGTGAGGCAGCAGCGGGTGTTGGCCGGATCTGGATCCTGTGAGTTTTCAGGAGATACCAGGGGTCTAGATTTTCACATGAAATCCTCCCATTTTTAAAAGTTGGTAACTGATTCATGGCTTCCCGGCCTTTGTTTCTACCATGGCTCGCATACAAAATGAGACTGTTTTTAGCTCACTTTGGGATAAATATGTGGGCTGCATATGGCCACAGGCAACACCATGGACCCCCTCTAGCTGCCTTCTGTGCCAAGGAGACCCACGTCTGGGCACATTTGGAACCCTTTTGCAGCTTCAGTGCTTGCTGGATTTAGATTGAAATTTAAGTTCATTTAAATTTGTAAAAGCTCTCTGAGCCAAGGAAAACGTGTTTGTGGGCTGGAGTCTGGCCTGAGCTGTTGCTCTGTAATCCCCGGTCTCACTGCTGGGGGAGGCCTCTTCAGATGGTTCCCCGTGCCTAGAGAAGCAGGGGCTGGACTTACCCATTGGGGGATGGAGCTGGCCTACATCCTGGTGCTGTGGTTGGCACTGCGGCTTTCTCAAATTTAATTCAGTCCTGGGCGGAGCCTGAGGCTGGTGCAGACCCTCACCAGGGTGAAGAAGGAAAGCCCCAAGGGGCCAGGGCAGGCCGAATCATCATAGCCACTGCCACCGTGCGTGAAGCCCCTGGCGGCTGCTGGGCCCTCTACGGCTGACACAGGGTCACCAAGCTCTGTTTTATGGACAGGAAAACTGAGGTCGATGCGGTGAAGTGGCTGGCTGGGCGGATAGGTGGCAGGGCCAGCTGTGGATGTGGAGTAGGAGAACCTCGGTGGGGCCTGGCTCCAGGAGAAGGCAGAAAGCTCTCACACCAGCCTCATGGTCTATAGGCAGGAGGCTGATCTTTGTCCTGAGGGTAGTGGGAACCCTGAAGGGTTTCGGGCAGGGACTGGGTATTGGTGTGGAGGTGACAGAATCAGATCTGAGCTTTTGAGCCATCACTCTAGGTGTCGAATAGAAGGTAGACCAGAGTTGCTTCCATCAGCTGCTATATTTGAGGTTAAAAACCAGTGGCTGGCAAGACCCAAAGGAATGTTTCTAGTGTGAATCCATTCACAGCAAGTTTATAAGCAGGCACAGCTCACCTGTAGCACTTAGAGACCATAGGACAGTGACTCCGTCAAGGGGCGGGAGAGGATTGCCACCGGCAAGGACAGGGCGGCAGCGGATAGCCTCTGGGGCACAACAGTATCCCCTCTCGGCCTGCAGAGTGGCTACCTGGATACTCGCTTTATTCACCAAATTGGAGATTTTTTTTAAAAGCAGAACATTTATTGCATGAATAATCATTGAAATTCTTAAGATGAACTTGATGCGGCCAGGCACAGTGGCTCACGCCTGTAATCCCAGCACTTTGGGAGGCCGAGGTGGGTGGATTTCCTGAGGTCAGGAGTTTGAGACCAGTCTGCTCAACATGGTGAAACCCCATCTCAAAAAAAAAAAAAAAAAACAGATGAACTGGATGCTGCAACAACTGCCCTCTGTGTTTAGGTGTTGTTCCTTCACGGAACTCATGCCTGAATCTGCAGTATACAATCTTCAGGTGCCTCATTCAACCAGCCCCGGTGGGATTTCGTCTTTTAGCCTTGGCACTCCAGTTGCACTTTCTCTTGTGCTTGGTGAGGTAGCCACACTCGCCACAGGTCGACCTTCTGAAGGTGGTGGGCCTTAGAGCCACGGCGGTGGCACAACGTGTGCGTCTCACTGCAACGCTTTCCAAACGATGACATTCCCCTCATCATCTTGCTTCTGCGGCAAAGACCAGAGAGTGGAGATTTATTATTCCCATACACAGGAAGGGTGTTCTGTTTCACCACAGCATAGCAACACTTCCAGTACTTTCCACCCAACAAAGACTCTAAAAAACAAAAATGAAGCTGAAAACTTAGTGGCCACAAGGGCTGAATCCAGCCCCCAGACAGGCTTGGCTTGGCCCTTATATGATTTTGTAAAAAGATGAGTTAGTTACCACCTAAAAATTAAGAGATGCCCATTGAAAATCTAGATTTCCAATTTGTCTTTAAAAATTGGAAGGTTCAGGCCAGGTGTGGTGGCTCACGCCTGTAATCCCAGCACTTTGGGAGGCTGAGGTGGGCAGATCACGAGGTCAAGAGATCGAGACCATCCTGGCCAACATGGTGAAACCTCATCTCTACTGAAAATACAAAAATTAGCTGGGCGTGGTAGCGTGTGTCTGTAGTCCTAGCTACTAGGGAGGCTGAGGCAGGAGAATTGCTTGAACCCAGGAGGCGGAGGTTGCAGTCAGCCGAGATTGTGCCACTGCACTCCAGCCTGGCGCCTGGTGACAGAGTAAGACTCTGTCTCAAAAAAAAAAAAAAAAAAAATTGGAAGGTTCGGCCGAGCAAGGCGGCACACACCTATAATCCCAGCACTTTGGGAGGCCGAGACGGGCAGATCACTTGAGTCCAGGAGCTTGAGACCAGCCTGGGTGACATACTGAAACTGCGTCTCTACTAAAACATGCAAAAATTAGCTGGGTGTGGTGGCATGCACCTGTAGTCCCAGCTACTCAGAAGACTACTTGGGAGGCTGAGGTGGGAGGATCACTCCCAAGTGGGAGCCCAGGAAACAGGTTGCATTGATCCAAGATGATGCCACTATACTCCAGCCTGGGTGACAGAGCAAGACCCTGCCTCAAATAAATAACTAAAATAACAAATTAAAACTTAAAATATGAGAAGGTCTGTCCACAGGGGAGCCATTTTCCCACATTGTCGCAATTAGCTAGAATGGAGTGGCCACTGACCCCTCCCCATGGGCCATGAGCTGGCCAGCTGTCCACAGCTGCCTCCTAGGAGAAATAACAGCTGTTAAATTCAGCGAAGATTAGAGATAGTGAGGAGATTGCTGTGCCTCAAAATAAGTAGTGATTTTATTATGGTTAGGCAGTAGGGAGTGGTGAAGACTGGCTAGGGAGATGTGTGCTCTCCTCTCTTGGCCCTGGCCCACTTCATCTTGGGGGTGTCTGACTTTCTCACCCCACTGCATCTCTGACTCTTCCCTTGAACATACAGCAGCATGGCCTTGACTATCTTTTTTTTTTTCTAGACCCTGGAGAACCATACTCAGAACTCCTCTGAGGTGAGTCCGCTGAGACTCAACACTGACAAGCCTCTCAAGGAGTCACCTTCCACCCCACTGGCACCCAGCCAGCCTCAGGACAGTGTGAATGGGCCCTGCAGCCAGCCCTCTGGGGACGGATCCCTCCAAACCACCAGTCCCCCAGATGTGACCCCTGGAAATGAGAACGGCCTGGCAGTGCCTGTACCCCTGAGGAAGTCCCGACCCATGTCAATGGATGCCAGAATTCAGGTAGCCCAGGAGAAGCAAGTCACTGAGCCAGGTGGGGACCTCAGCCCAGCAGCCAACAGATCCCAAAAAGCCAGCCAGAGCCGACCCAACAGCAGCGCCCTGGAGACCTTGGGTGGGGAGAAGCTGACCAATGGCAGCCTGGAGCCCCCTGCCCAGGCAGCTCCAGGCCCTTCCAAGGGAGACTCGGACTGCGGCAGCCTCTGCACCTCTGAGAGCATGGACTTCGGTACCAATCTCTCCGCCGACCTGTCCGTGAACAAAGAGACGGGCTCTCTGTCCATCAAGGTAAGCCGCCTCTCCCACCATGGGCTTACAGCAAGGGCATTACAGGATGTTCTGTGGCTCCATTTGGGTTTCAAAAGCATTTAGGGGCTTCCTTGCATTTTAAGCGGTTCATTGGGGAATTTTTGGTTTGACTTACAGTTTAATCTCCAAAATATCTGGGTTCAGTATGGGATTTAGGAACATCAAGCAGATGGTTTGGTTTGGGATTTAGGAACGTCAAACTTGGTAAAAAGGCCCTGGTAAAATTTGGGAGAGAGAATTCTAGGCCTTTGCCACCAATGAAGTTCTCTCATCTAGGGGTCAGCCACAAGACCCAGCTGATAACTGGTAAATCCAGCTAAAGGAAACGGGCTCAAAGCTGCCTTCCCTGCCTCCGGGGCCTTTCTGGAGTTGGGCAGTGTTGGGAATGACGCCTCCACTGCACCAGAGGCCTGGGCGTGAGGCAAACTCTGTACAAGTGCTGTAAAAAAGAACAGAGGGGCTTCGTCCTCTCAGTTTACAGAGCAGCAGATGGAGGCTTAGAGAAGTGAGGAGCTAGCCCAGGGCTTGGTAGGAGCGGAAAGGTGGTCAGACCCCAGGCTCCAAGCTCTGCACTTTCCCAGTGGGAGCCAGGGCCTCCATCTCCTTAGGCAGCGGGAAGGGGCTGACTCCTTTCCTGGCCTCCCCAATAAACCCCAGGTGTTACCTAACTCACCACTGGTCACCTGACTCTCTACCCAAGGCTGATTTTAGGGGAAATACTATATGATTTTGTTTTTCCTTCCCAAATTTACTTGGTGAAAAGCACGGAGTAGAGACTCAAACGTATTTGTTAAGCAAAAGGGACTGACAGGAGCCGCCATGGCCAATCAGCGTCAGGCAGGCAAAGGAAGCACAGCTCCCACAGGTCACCGTGACAAGCATGGACAGCAGCTGTCACCTATGAGCAGTGTCTCCCTTAGGACAGGCATCCTGCCCCTTCTCTTCCTTAAGACACTAAGTGAACAAACAAACAAAAAAAGGCGTTTTTGCTTGTCTGTTTGTTTAATAACACAGACCCACCTAGAGCAAGGGTTCCCCAGCTCTTCACCAGGCTATGGAGAATGTTCCTGGTTGACTGCAATGCGTCAGGGACCTCAGGCTGTTGTGATGAGAGCCCCCCGCTGTGCCAGCACCCACGGGCGTGACTAGGAGGCCCCATGACCAGGAACAGTTCTCAGCAGAAGGCTGTGGCTGTGGATGTCCTTTCTTCCCCTCCACTCTCTCTCCTGCCAGCCTCTACTTCTCACCGCTGGTCTGCCCCATCCTGACTGGGTCCTGGCATGTGAGCTTAGAGATGAGAGTTGGGCACACTAGATCCATGCTGATGCTGTCCAGAGCCCTTGGATGAGATGCCACGGGCAAGAGACAGGGGCCTAGACCTCAGGGAGCAAGGACCGTCTGCCCCTCTTAACTCAGCAGGAGTAGAGCTTAGCATAGATTTCAAGGGCTCAGAGACCTGCCACGCTGGCTCCTCACTCCTCTTTCAGGGATGGGAGGCCCGGTGTTAGGAAGGCAGGACTGGGCTTCACCAAAAAGAGCCTTTGAATCCAGCCAAGAGGCCAGCGGCAGTGGGCAGAGCAGGAACACCTTCAGAATCAGAGCTGAGAACTTCCAGAGGGTACCATGTATTATAACACCCTAACACCTCCAGTATTCCTGGTGGCGCCCTGCACAATTGCTTGTGACGTGTGCGATTTCTCACAGTAAAACATCAAGATTATGCATAATCTCACAGCGGCTCCGGGCAGGTGGGGAGTTCAGGCCAGGTTAGCTTTGGCTACCAAACCAGTTATGAAAACAGCCTTTGGTTTTCGGGCTCCTTTGGATTTTGGCAGCATGCATGAGGGCTGGGTATAGTCTGCAGTAATAACTGTCAGAAAGAAATGCCAAGCATGGAACACGCACCAGGAGTGGGCCCTGCTCTGTGTGCCCCCCATGTGTTCTCTCGTTGAATCTTCACAACCTCCCCGGGAGGCAAGTAGTGTTATTATCTTCCCGGGACAGGTGAGGAAGCTGAGGCTGAGACAGGACGAGAGGCTGGCCCCGAGGGACAGAGCCAGTAAGTGGTACAGTGAGGGTTAGAATGCAGCTCTTTCTGACACCATGTCCTGGATACATGAGAGGTGCTGGCAGCAAGGTAGGGGAGGCCTCAGCCCGGGGTCTGAAGGTTGAGATCAGGGAAAGGCAAGGGCTTTTAGGTTAAGTTGAGGCAAGAGGGACGATGGATGGCCACATCTCTCTGGGTGGGGCTGAAGCTGTCGGCCCAGCAGAGCTGTGGCCTCACCTGCTGCAACAGCCACTAGTCCTTTGCTGAAGTGCTGAGACTTACCTAATGGTTTTCCCTGGCCAGGACCCGAAGCTACACAACAGAACCCTCAAGCGGACACGCAAATTTGTGGTGGATGGTGTGGAGGTGAGCATCACCACCTCCAAGATCATCAGCGAAGATGAGAAGAAGGATGAGGAGATGAGATTTCTCAGGCAAGCCTGGGAAGGGCCACCAATGGCGGTAACAGGGTGGGGCTGTGGTAAGAGGAGTGGGCATTGGCCCTTTTGCTAAGAGGACTCTCTGTCTACAGCATGAAGTGGGGGAATCAAGGAGACAAAAGGAAACTCATTTTGCCTGAGATCCTGCACTCCTCCATCTACCCAGTCATTCATCTATCCATCCATCCATTCATTTATCCACGCATCTATCCATGCATCTATCCACCTGCTCGCCTATCTACTTATTCATCTATCTGCCCATCCATCTACCCACCCTTCCACCCACTCACTCCTCCACCCAGCCACCCATCTACCCACTCACCTTTCCATCCAACTGTCCACCCATTCATCTACCCATCCACTTAATCATTCATCCTTCCATTCATTTATCCACCCATCCATCCACCTACTTACCTCTCTGCTTATCCATCTATCTACCCATTCATCCATCCATTCATGCATCCATCCATCCACCCACCCACTCATCCACTCACCCATCCATCTACCCACCTAATCATCCACCGATCTATCGACCCACTCACCGTTCTGTCATTCTCTCCATCTGCCTAATTATCCATCTGTTTATCTATCTATTCATCTAATCACTCATCCATCCATCTGTTCTTCCATTCATTTATCTACCCATCCATCCATTCACCTACTCCCTATCTGTCTTTCCGTCTGTCCACCCAGTCATCCATCCACCCACCCACCCATCTACCCATTCATCTACCCATCCTAACCATCCATCCATCCATCCATATTCCATGTGTCCACCAACCCACCAGGTTGCGATAATGTGGTGACCCAAACAGATAAGGCCATTGCCCTGGTAGAACTTACACCTAATGGGCCAACACACAGTACACAAGATAATCCCTGATTGTGGTACATGCCATGAAAGAAGTAACAAGTGACATGATGGTGAGTGCCTGGAGTGGGGGCAGCTCCTCCAAGGGAAGCCAGGCCTGAAGGATGAGGGGAGCAAAGCTCGGGGAGTCCAGGGGAAGCTGCAGTTGCTGAGGCCCTGAGGAATAACTCCTCAGCTTGTTTAAGGGACTGGTGGAGGCAGGCAGGGAGATCTTGACTAGGATGGCCAGGCTCTGGGCTCAGGCTGGGGCAGTGGCTGGGAAGAGGGAAAAACATGGTCAGATTTGACCTAGATTTTGGAGGCAAAACCAGTGAGCTGGTGAAGAATTGGAACAGGGAGGAAGGGGTGAGGCAAAGCTGTTTGCTAGGATCCATCTGTATACTTTTCAGCTGCTTATCCCCCACTTACAGCCCTCCTTCGGGAGACCCTATTGCCACATTTTGTAAACAAATGAGGAAACAGTATTTTTGAGCAAGTGAGTCACTTGCCTGGTCTTCCAGTTGGGCAGGGATAAAGCTGAGATTCTAATTGGGTCTGTCTGTGTGAGAATTCTGGACCATGTAGCTGGCCAGAGCTGGGGGAGCTTAGCACTTACAGAGGACATGGAGCCATGGAGTTCTTTTGGGGCCAGGTCTTTGTAGGGTAAATTCATGATTAGTGTGGAGAAAATTTCTAGAACATCAATCACATATTTTTATACATGTGAATTAAAATTTTTAATATTCATATTTTTTAAAAAGCTGAAGCATGCAGCCGGGCACAGTGGCACACACCTATAATTTCAGCACTTTGGGAGGCTGAAAGGAGTGGAACGCTTGAGGCCAGGAGTTCGAGACCATCCTGGGCAACATAATGTCTCTACAAAAAAATTTAAAATCAGCTGGGCACATGCCTAGTCCCAGCTACTCGGGAGGCTGAGGTGGGAGGATCATTTGAGCCTAGGAGGTCGAGGCTGCAGTGAGCTATGATCATGCCACCACACTCCAACCCGGGCAACAGAGAAAGACCTTGTCTCTCAAAAGTAAATGAAAATAAATTGGAAAAAATAAAAGCATAGGCAGGGCGCAGTGGCTTACACCTGTAATCCCAGCACTTTGCAAGGCCTAGGTGGGTGGATCACCCGAGACAAGCCTGGCCAACATGACAAAACTCAGTCTCTACTAAAAATACAAAAATTAGCCCTGCGTGGTGTGGTGGCGGGCACCTGTAGTCCCATCTACTCGGGAGGCTGAGAGGGGAGAATCACTTGAACCCAGGAGGTGGAGGTTGCAGGGAGCCAATATTGCGCCACTGCATTCCAGCCTGAGTGACAGAGTGAGACTCTGTCAAATAAATAAATAAACAAACAAACAAACACGCCAAAACCAAATAAAAATAGTTTTAGATGTTCTGGATCATTTCTCCCCCCAGGAGACAGTAGGAGGAAAGACAGACTTTCACTGGTGTGGTGTCTGCACGCGCGCACACACACACACACACACACACACACACACATGCACACACACACATCATCTATGTGGATTGGGGAGGCTAGGGCACAGGTTACTTTGGCAGATGACACCACTTTCTGTTTTAGTGGTCACCTGATAGCTACCCTGGACTCTGAGCTTCAACCTCAGGAGCTGGGTTTCCATCACCTCCCCTCTGGGCAGTTGAAGTTCCCAGGGTTAAAATTCTAGATTGGCCACACCCCATGGAGAAGCGATGCTCTCTGGCCTTGGCTGTGGGTCCCCACCCTCCTCCTAAGCAGAGCAGCTGCGTGCTACTCAGGGTCAAAATGTGAGACCTCGAGGAGGTGAAGAGGTGCTGGTCAGGAACCAGGATTTTCTCATTTGCCTGCCATGGTCTGGAGGTCTGAGCACCTGTAAACCAGGCTAGGCCGCCAGACCACAGGGGTGAGGAAGGCCCTCATTCCCTGCTGGCCCAGGGCCCTGGTCATACCTGACCCCCGGCATTTGTGGAGAGTTGGGTCACACCTAGGGTTTTGAACCATGTAACTGAGCGTTTATCACATTCCCAGAATGATGACGAGGCTTCTGGGCAGAGGTCCTCCTGTCCTTCCCTAAAACCGCTTCTGCCGTTCCTTCCCTCTTGAGCATTACCCTTCTCTTTGCCTGCCTTTCTGAGAGCGCAGGTGGGCCAGGGAGGTGCTAGAGCCTGGCTGCCTGCCTTCTTTCTGTACTCCTTTTATGCTTTTTGTCAATTCTTCTCTAAACCTTAGTTTCTCTTGAGTCAGGATTTCCATTTCTTCGTTAACACCCTCAAAAATTGCCTCCTCTCAGCCGAGAGCTGTGGCTCACGCCTGTAATCCCAGCACTTTGGGAGGCCGAGCAAGGCGGATCACGAGGTCAAGAGATCAAGACCATCCTGGCCAACATGGTGAAACCCCCTCTCTACTAAAAAATACAAAAATGATCTGGGCTTGGTGGCGTGCACCTATAGTCCTAGCTACTAGGGAGGCTGAGGCAGGAGAATTGCTTGAACCCAGGAGGCAGAGATTGCAGTGAGCCGGATTGCGCCACTGTACTCCAGCCTGGCGCCTGGCGACAGACCAAGACTGTCTCATAAAAAAAAAAAGATTGCCTCCTCTCTTCTCACTTTCCAGAAAAGCAGAGGCTCAGACAGTCTTCCCTCTGTGGCTGTGGAAGGTGCCTCTGGCTTTTCGCAGAGGCAGGGCAGCCATTGCCTCTTCCTCCTTGTTAGAATGTGAGCAGTTGCCACTTACAGACGGCTGGTCAGGTGCCTGCCACGTGGACACTTTACCTGTGTCATCTCAGTTATCCCTCAAAGGACCAAAGAGGGAAAGATCGTTAGCCTCATTTTGCAGAGGAGGGAATGAGGCCCACAAGGATGACTGACGGACTGAGAGGGCACCCAGCTGGAAAGCTGATAGAGCCTAGATTCAGACAGGGGTGCTCTGACCCCAGAGAATGTGCTTGGCCTCGCTGCACTGCTCAGCCCTTGCTTGTGCTGCTCTATGAGCAGTTATGGCCCCTCCGAGCCATGAGGAAGGCCACTGGGGTCAGAGCGTGGCCTCATGGGAATCACCATGGTGCCACCCTGGACTAGGACACAGGTCTCATGGACTTCGACCCCAGTTCAGTCAGGAGGCCCAAGTTCTTTCTGTAGCAGTTTAATTTTTTCTTTTTCTCTGATTATATAAATAATACATAGCAATTTTTTCTTTCTTTTTTTTTTTTTT